CGGGGGTGGGGGGGAGTGCGTCCTGGTTATCCTTGCCAGTTGCCCAAGATGGGTAAAAATGAGAGGGGTGGGAGATCACCAGACCTTGAGCAAACGCCTTTCCCAACCCTTGCCTAGTCCCTAGGAGGGCTGGTATTTAGGGTCCTCTCTCCAAAATCTTTGGGATGGTGTTTGCAGGGCTGGCCTGGAAAATGCAACGGTATAACTACTTGGAGAAAGAAAAAGGTGACTCTTCAATGTCCCTCTTTGCTGAAGGGGGAGCTGCCGATTAGAAAGGGGCACAAGGAAGGGTCATTGGTCTGAGTGGCTCCAGGAGGTCCCCAAGTACAAAGACGTATTAGACCTTCTCAACCACCAAAATTAAAAGCTTGTCGGCTTCTTAGCTGGGAGCCTTCAGTACTACGCGCGGGATCCGTCGTAAACTAACTACCTGAACGACCTTGGCCAAGTCCAAAAGCTGGGGGACAGGGGTGGGTATGACCGTGGCCGGAGCCGCGGTCAGGAACTGGACCAGTATGCGGCCCACACAATTCTGCTGCAGGCCGCAGGCCTCGCACTTCGCCGCGCCGCAGCCACCGCTGGCGCAGAAGAGCCGGCAGCACTGGGCATCCCTATTAAAACCGGATAGAAGTCCCCACCTGGTACGCTCTGTTGTGGGGCGCGGGAACGAGCTGGGCTGGGACCCAGGCTAGGGAGGCGGGTAGGATGGAGGATGCAGCGCTGTGATTTCTCGGGAAAGCGTGAAGAAAGAGGGGGAGGAGACCTGCCTCCCCGGGAAATTAACAAAACCTACACTTTGCAAAGTCTCCCCCATGCCCCTCCTCCGCATTCTTCCCTGCAGTGCGCCCGCCCCTCCTCGCCGCTTCTGTTGTGACTCAGGCAGCCTATCCCGAGGGTGGGGAGCTACCGAGGAGCCTGAGCCGAACGGTACTCTGCAGCATCACGTGCCGGGGTGGGGGCTATAAAATCCCGGTACCGGGGCTGCGGGTGGGGGACTTGAGAACCAGCCCTCTCCAGGGACCCCTTTGTTCGCGGCCCAGACGCCGACACCTCCGAGTCCCCTAGGGCTTGACCGCCCGCGTCCGTGCAGCTCCCGGAGCAGATCTCAGAACACGAGAGGGGAGGGGTCGCCGCGGCCGGCCAGGCTGTACAGCCACCCACCCCTACCGACATGTCGCGCTCCTTCTATGTCGACTCGCTCATCATCAAGGACTCCTCTCGGCCCGCGCCCTCGCTGCCGGAGCCGCACCCCGGGCCGGATTTCTTCATCCCGCTGGGCATGCCGTCCCCGTTGGTGATGTCCGTGTCGGGGACCGGCTGTCCGTCCCGCAAGAGCGGCGCGTTCTGCGTGTGCCCGCTCTGCGTCACTTCGCACCTGCACTCCTCTCGGGGGTCAGCGGGCGCCGGCGCCGGGGGCGCCGGGGCTGGGGGTACGGGGGCCGGGGGCGGCGGGGCTGTAGGGCCCGCGGGGGCGCTGCCTCTGCTCAAGAGCCAGTTCTCCTCGGGTCCTGGGGACGCGCAGTTTTGTCCGCGAGTGAGCCACGCGCACCATCACCACCACCCGGCCCAGCACCACCATCACCACCACCAGCCCCAGCAGCCCGGTTCGGCCGCTGCGGCAGCGGCAGCGGCAGCAGCGGCGGCGGCCGCGGCGGCTTTGGGGCATCCGCAACACCACGCACCTGTTTGCGCCGCCACCACCTACAACGTGGCGGACCCTCGGAGATTCCACTGCCTCACCATGGGTAGGGTGGGGTCTCTGGGAACCTGCGCGCCGCGCCTTTAGAGATCCTGGGAGCAAACTTTCCTCCTCCAGTGGAGGAAGTGGGAGCCCAGGGGCGGGGTGGGGAGAGGAGGGGCTTTTAGTGTAACTGTAGCGTCCTCTCCAGAAGTTCCACACAGGTGGAAGTTAGCTTGCCAACCCCTCCACACAGCCTGGCGCGCTTCACTCGAGGCACCAGGCGCTCCAATATTGCGGAATTTCGGGGCCTTTGGGACCTCGAAGGTGACAACGGAGAAATCAAGGATAACTGAAGTTTGGGATGGGTGTTTGAACCTGACTGTGACATCCCCGCGTCGGGACTACTAGCTAAAGCATTTCGATGCTTTTGGCTAAGCGTGCACGTCTCTACGCTGGGCTCGAAGAGAGGCAGTGCAATTCTCCACCCCCCGCCCCGCTTAATCATCTGACTTTACGTCCCACGCATCAAAGGCTTTCCCTTGCTTTGGGCATTTCTTTACTTTCCCGCTAAGCAGCGACATGCCTTGAAATGGGAAAGGGTAAGGGATGGATACAGGTGTTTGGTTGGGCTTCCGCGGGGAGGTCCTTGAGAGGTGTCCTTTCCAAGGGATGGCACGTGGGGTGGGCGCGCCTTGCCCAAGCCTTACTTCTTTTCTCTTTCTTGGTCCGCCCGCAGGAGGTTCCGATGCCAGCCAGGTACCCAATGGCAAGAGAATGAGGACGGCGTTCACCAGCACGCAGCTCCTGGAGCTGGAACGGGAATTCTCTTCCAACATGTACCTGTCTCGACTCCGAAGGATCGAAATCGCCACGTACCTGAACCTGTCGGAGAAGCAGGTGAAAATCTGGTTTCAGAACCGCCGGGTGAAGCACAAGAAGGAGGGGAAAGGCACGCAGAGGAACAGTCACGCGGGTTGCAAGTGCGTCGGGGGCCAGGCGCACTATGCGCGCTCTGAAGATGAGGACTCCTTGTCGCCGGCCTCTGCCAACGACGACAAGGAAATTTCCCCCTTATGAGGGAGGGCCGCCCACCTCACACCATCCGCTCCTTGCAGCGCCCCCACAAACTTCCACGCGGGGGACACCGAGTAGCCCAAATCCCCAAATCCTAGTCTTCCCCCGGCCTTCCATCGAAGGAACGAGCGGAGCCGAGGAGTCCTGGGACACACTCTTACTAGCCGGGCCTGATCCTTCCCGTCTCCTTCTTGACCTTTGTATTTGGTACTCCACTCGAAGTTATAGATCATTTTTTTTAAATGTAGATAATCTAGAATTCAATTCAGTCTCATCCCAGAGGAGAAACAGGGTTGTTTTAAGTCTCACACTGTGTGGGGTGTTTTGAAACGCATGTCATTTCCCCATCCCTCTGTCTTTAGAACCTGATAAGAACACGGGGCTTCTTGATTATTTTCTGTTGTTGTTGTTGTTGTTTTAAAATGAAAATATTCAAATTGCAAATAATCTAGAAAATTAAATCCTGTAGGTCTTGCTTTCGGGAAATTTGCCTGGGGAGAAGTTAAAATCCAAGTCACTGGAAGTCCCTTTGTATGTGAATAGTTTTATATAAGATTTATATTTATATTTATTTAAATAAATGAAACAAAATCAGGATTTTAAATTTGTGGTGTTTGCTCTCCTCATCTTCTCCTGCCCATCTCCCTCTCGCCTCCTTCTGCCCTCCCCCACCCCTAAATGTCTAGAGAAAGGCATGGACAGGAAAGACAAAACAGACCTGTCTGAGGACTAAGACGAAAATGTTGACTAAAACTGGGTAATATGGGTGTCTTGGCTGAGGGAATTTGGCAGCTGGCAGGTGTGGGGATCCAAACCCTTGACCTTGGTGTTGTCAGCACCATGCTCTTTCTATAGGCTTTCTATGTAACAGAAACTTCTGCCAAGAAGACACCTTTAGTTATGATGCCACCTACCAAGTAGTATCCCCATCCTCAAAATAGATAACCTCCTCACAGTTGACAGGACAAATCACTCCATTTAGAGTGACACTGACAATTAATGACAGGTAAATCTCTTATTTAGCAAGGAAGGGTGAAAATCCCTTACCTAGTGTTTATTTTCTGCAGCAGTTTTGTCCTGTTCTTTCTTCTTTCTCATCTCTCTCAGTACTGAAACCTGAATTATGTGAAGGAATTTGCATAGTCAGAATAGTCTTAGAGAAAGCAACAATCCATCAAATGGGTCAGAATCAAGCACACAGAAACTTGCAAATGATGCTGCGAGTGACTAGAAACATTCAGGTTCCTGGTTGTTTGTCTAGCTGGGAAATTAGCTGGTTTCCCTCAAGGCTGAGAAAACAAAAAGTCAGGGACAGGGATGTATTCTGTCCAAAAATTAATAATCTCACTTTCCCAAAACAGCTCAGAGATGCCTTTGGACTTTTTTTTTCCTGGTCTCCCTAACTTTAACCTATTTTGGCTTCTTCTAGTCTTTCCCTTCCCATTGCCTAGTGAAGTTAATTACTGCAAGCCTGGTCCTGGAAAAGACCTACTTCTAGCTCTTCCCTCAGCAGGGCAATCTGACTCTCTGGTCAGGGCAGCCTGGGCCTGTTATTGACTGGAGAGAAGTGAAGAAGCTGGAAACATGGAAACTAGGAGGTTTCATTCCCTGCAAGCTGAGTCCTACTAACACCCACTGGTGTGATTTGTTTATTTTCTATGAAGATGCCATTCAATAGGCTTCAGCCACATAAATTGTTTACAGCACACATACACAACTTTTAAAGGTCTGATTTAACTTTAGACTCATGGGAACTGAAACCTCGCTAGGTGTGGTAGGGGCTCTAAAATTATCTGGAAGCTAGTTTGGGAAGATGGAGTTAGAGGAAAGAATGTGACCATCGTTTTCTCTTAGTTTGTTCTCTCTCTCTCTCTCTCTCTCTCTCTCTCTCTCACACACACACACACACACACACACACACACACACACACACACACACACACACTTGATAGGCTCAGAGATGGAAAATCCCCTTTCACACTCCCAAGGCCCGCCAACTCCCATTCTGTCATCAGCCAGGGCAGGCAGGAGAGGGATGGGAGCGCACGGTCTCATGCTGAGTCAGGCGCTGCCGCTGCTTTGTGCAGCGCGGGGCCTGGTCCTGCGCAGCGCTCCCAGGCAGCCGGCTCACTCCTGCCCCGGACTGGGAAGCTCACTCCTAACCTGATCTCTTTCTTCCCGCCTCTCACACGCAAAGCCCGGGCCCTCTCGCCTTGTCCACCGCGAAGGGGAGGAGGCGCAGGCTCCCTGTCTTTCCTAAAGATCCTGTTTCCTTTCTTCCCAAGAAACAAGCCTCTCCGAAAACAGGGATGGGAGGAAAGGAGTTTGCAGACTCAAAGAACAGGCGTTGAAGTAGAATAATTCCTTCCAGGAAAATAACAAGGACAAAAAGCCCCTGCTGCAGCTCTCCGCTCTCCTGCCCAAAGCGAAGCCTCATCTGGGGTGTGGGCAGACCCCTATGCCCCCTCTCATCCACTCCCTCCCGGCCCCTCTGTTGCCCCGCGCTAGGGTCTGGCACTCCCTCATGTCCATGACCAGTCTGAGCCCCAGCCTCTGCACCTCGCCCCACTCCCTGACCCCAGGCCCTGCGCCCAGGGCGCGGAGCCAAGTACTTGCCATACTCGGTGCGGCGTGGCGTGCCAAGCTCTGCTTCCCGGCGAAGGAGAGACACGGCACCAGCCCCCCTTGGCTGGTTAGTTTTGGACTGCTTGAATGGTATCAGCCACCATCTCTCCGATCTTGAGGGAAATTCCCTAGGGGAAAGAGAGTAAACAATGTATCCCCCAACAGGGGCGAAAAGATTTGAGCAAAGACCTTGGACGTTCTCTGAAGAAAGAAAGGTTCTCCAGGGTTCCAGGGAGGTTCTCCTTCTAGGACATTCGATATGTCGTGGACCTCTTTGTCACTTTCCGAGTGGAACGTGAGGCCTCTTATTGAATGCAGCTCAGTGCATCAAAGCAATTGTTCCTATTTTCATTATTCACAGAGAATCTTTGAATGTACCTGTTAAGGTGACAGACCTTTTTGAAAGGGAACATTTTTCTCCTTGCAATTAAATGGTGCATTTATTAAGTTTCTATTAACATAATTTAATATAAATCTATTTTATAAATCTTTAGGCTCACATTACTGAAAATTAAGCTTCTCTTTTTAAAAAAATGCCAAAGTCTCTTCCCTAAATTAGATAGAATGTAATCCAAAAACTTGTTATTCTAAGCCAGCTGGAAATGTTAAAAGTAGAAGAGTCTTGTATTGTCTTTTATTACTGGTGGAGGTGTGAAGAAAAGAGGTAGCTTTTCTCACAGAAGATAAGATATCTACAGAGGATGGATTCACTGGGACCCAGAGCTCTACACCCAATGCCCTGGCTTTTGGAGTTGGTGACACAGGCTGGAACTAAGGAGGGGTCAAATAAGAACAGGAACTAAAGAGATTTCTTAGGAACAGAGTTCAATCAGAGCTCAGGTAAAATAATAATAATAAATAAATAAATAGGAAAAACAACAAAAATCCAACTTCCAAAGAAATTTGGATTCAAGTTTCTTCTGTTTGGGAATAGAAAATCCGAAGTCTGTGAGAGTTCACAGTCCCTAATGATAGCCAGACTCCTTATTCTCGAGTGTACCCTCCAAAGTTCTGGGCATCCCATTGTCTCTGAAAGTAATGTTTCGTGCTCACTTAATATACTGATGTCAATGCCTGCCTTTCTGCACTGGGCATTGCTTTTCTTCAAGTCAAGCCCTATGTTTTTCTAAACCCTTGTTGTACCTTTATTGAGCCTTCCAAATCCCAAACCCAGGAAGGCCCTAGGGGCTCCTCTGAGTGAATCCTGACAGATCGGAAGTGTGTGCTGTGTGCTTAGGGAAGTAACTAGTTTCAGATTAATGGAGCAGTGACAATTTCAATCTGCTTAAAGGCGGAGGTTGGCACTGCCCAGGCCTGAGCGTGGGGAGCTCGCCAGGCTGGGCTTTATATTGTCCCCTTTTCTGAAGAGCAGACAAAGATGGATAGAGAGACATTGAAAAGCAGGGGGAGTATTTCAAACAGTCCCATAAAGCAGGCTGTCACTTTAAGACAAGAACCATAGTGCTTTGATGACTTTGTATTAGCTGCACCACTTCAAATAAGGGACTCAAGTCTCTAGGGAGAGGGAGGAAGGATGGAGAGATGGGGTGGGAGTGGGTGAGAGAGAGAGACAGAGAGGGAGGGAGGGAGAGAGAGAGAGAATGTAGCGATATTTAGTTAGCCTGTGAGCACTGTAGCGAGACTAATTCTTAGGCAACTATTTGATTTCTGAAGTTCAGGAAGAAACAACCCATAGCAGGTGCAGAGGAATAAAAGGCAGGTGGGAGTTGCTCCGATGGGAAAGAGCTCCCTGCCCGTGGGCGGCAGCCGGCTCGGAGGAGCTGAAGCCAGCTTGGCCTCAGTTGGCCGGGAAGGGCTCGAGCGGGTGCGCAGCTCTGCCGGTCCCAGACCGCGGAGGATTATGATGGAAATTTTTGAGAGAGTGAAATAAGAAGAATAGGAAGGAGGGGGAGGGCACGGTTTTGGAGACCACCTTCACAAAGCCTAATTTAAATTGGGGTCAAGCAGCAGCAAGCCACCTTCCCCCTTTGCTCCCCAATTAATTAATGACCTCAATTAATGATTAGGGTCTTGTATCTCGAGTCTTCAAAACGCCTTCCCCAACGGTCTGAGGAGTTGCTTAAAGCAGACACGTTGTTTTAACTTGGGAGAAGCTCGTTGAGACTTGGCGTGTTTGCTGTCTGTCTCTCCCTTCTGTCTCTGCCTCTGCTTCCCTTGCCGTCTCTCTCTGCCTGCTTTCCTCTGTCTGTCTCCAACTCTTTCTGCCTTGGTCGGTCTCTCTCTCTCTCTCTCTCTCTCTCTCTCTCTCTCTCCCCCCCCCCCTTTTTCTCTCTCTCTCCTTCTTTCTCAGGTGCCTGGGAAGGGAGGCAGGTCAAAGCCTCTGCCCACCACCGACAGCCTCCGCCAAGCGATGGCTGGGCCCTTGGGTTCTGGGACCTGCTTGACTCCAA